AAATACTTATTGTTTTATTTTCCATTTGATGTTGTAATTAGAACATTAAGATTAATAGGTTGGTTTTCATGTGGATGAAGTGGTACAAGTGAAAAGATTGTGCGTTGATAAAAGAAGTTTAATTAATTGGTTGATTAAAGTAATGTTATAAAACGTATATTTTTTTTTTTTTGGTATTTTTGAACATTCATATTTAAATGCTTGGTTTTCATGTGCAGAAAGCTACACAAATGAAAGGATTGAAGGATGACACAATTTGTATCGTCGCTGATGATCTCCTACCAGAAAAGATTAACACGCCCTTGTCGCCTCCAAAGATGATTAGAAAGGAAGTCCTGAAGTCCATATTTAGGAAAAGGAATACACAACTCTCCACTTATCTCAAATCAATGATCTGCATTCAATTCCATTTCATGCTATTAAAGTTGGTCTAAACGCAATAACTAGCAATGTACTTTCCTTGTAACATAACATTTTTTTTAAAAGAAACTTATCGTTGAAAGTAACTATTCGCATACGGTGCTTTGTGCGGATACATCACTAGTATATATATATATATATATATATATATATATATATATAGAAACTTATTAAACAAAACATACGTTTATTCCATTTAGTACATAGTTACAAAGAGAAACTAAGAGAAGAACAAATTATATGAATGATATTTCCTCCAAGACCATCTTCAATCCTTTTCAACCTCAAGCCCCCAAGTTTGTGTAATGTAATGTCTTTTTTTGTAAAAGAACATACAAGCCCCAAGTTTGTGTAATGTAATGTCTCTTTTTGTAAAAGAACATACAAGTTCTCTGAAACTTTTATAGAGCTGAGGAGTCTTGGTGCACGTGGTCGCACTCTTACTTGCATTAGTCCTTTAAATCTTTGTCATAAAAACAAAAATAATGGAAAATCTCACCCACAAAAAAATTTGTTCTCTCATCTTTTTTATTTCAAAATCATTTTATAGAAATGGGAGTAATATAAGTTATTACCCCATGTCCACACATATTCTAATATTTTATTATGCTTTATTATTTGGTTATATAGATATTTAAATATTTTTTCCTTTTCTCTTAAGTAGAAAAAAATATTTTTATTCACACCCCATATCCACTAAGCCCCATCCTTGCAACGAGCCAACAACAAACATCATTCACTTCTTCTGGTATCGTATAGTGACCAAGCCTATATTAAAAACAAAATTAACAGCACATGACACTCTCAGTCATAGGTTACTTTTGAGAAATTATGTCCTTGAAGTCTATAAGAAGGATTAATTACCCATTGTATGTACGAAATGTCATGTTTTGAAATCCAGTCGTCCGTAAAGTTTGTGCAGATTTCTCCCCATGTTTGTAATCAACCATATCATCAACTGAAACATGGAAAATTTTCTTTAATCAAGATAGTTTTTTAATCATTTTAAATTTAAGATTATATTTTTTGGTTGAAAGTCTTATATTTTTCATAAAAAGTAAAAGTATATTTTATTCATTTACATTATGTTAGTCATTTATTTTACTTTGTGGATTAAAAATGTATAATATAAAGAAATATTATTCGGTACGGTTGATAGACATTTATTCTTCAGATTCCTAATTAGGATCGAGTGAATATTGAAAGGACCAATATAAGTTCTATATGTTTTAAAAACTAAATGTACACAACATGAAAGTTGTTATCGTAAAATTGATATATCTTTAGTAAGGACCACTATAAGTCCTATATGTTTTAAAAACTAAATGTACACAACATGAAAGTTGTTATTGTAAAATTGATATATCTTTAGTGGTTAAGTTTGTTTTCTAAAAGTTAAAACTAAAATAAACTAAATTCAACATTGATATTAATTAGCATCTTGCTTCAATAATGGTTCTTCTTTGGTTTCCCAAGACACCAACACGATTGAATAACTCAAACTGTAATTTAAGCAATTCAAAAGGAATTGGAGTACTTATCACATCTTAAGATTTTTCTTTTTCCAAATGCTCTCAATATGTCGCTAAGTTTGTCGATATTCCATGGAAAATATCAAAAAAGCATCGAGGAATGAGCAAAAGATATTGGGTCGTCAAGAATCTCTCACTTAATTGCCAGTAATTTATTGATGGCTAATATTAGTAATGGACTCTTTCATCATTAAACTTGTCATTGATGTATGTAGTGTCGCTAGTGTGTGTAAATGTGACCTAGTTCATGTGTCAAATGTGTTATACCTTTACAAAAATGTTACGACCCTTACCGTATAAATTTGAACACTTTGCTTCATGTTTGGTTGTCCTAGGCTTGGAGACATGGCTTGATATAAGATGTATCACTAAGTCAAATTTTGTTTGGATTAATTAATCATCTCATTTAATCAATTAACCTGTGACCTAACTACATTTATGCTGATCATTTCATTATGTTCACACATAAGGCCATAAACCAATTAAAGATTGATTAGTTCATATTGACTCAAATAATTATTCCCAGCCTCCCTCTATCCAGTATATCCTAGACTCCTCATACCTTATACATAGATTTTTTTGTCTTCATTTATCTTTGAATATATATATATATATATATATATATATATATA